GGAATGCAGTGGGGTGATAGCTCACTGCAGCCTCGACCTCTAGGGATTAACTGATCCTTCCACCTCAACCTCTTGAGTAGCTGGGACTACAGGCACAACAACCACACACAGCTAATTTTTTTGTTTTAATTTTTATTTGTAGAGATGGGGTTTTGCCGTGTTCCTTAGGGTAGTCTCAAACTCCTGAGCTCAAGCAAACCTCCTGCCTTGGCCTCCCAAAGTGTTGAGACTACAGGCATGAGCCACCATGCCCAGCCCTGAATTCCTGAACAATTTTTGTAATGTTTACAAATAGTTTCCTGACATTTTCATTTGTCATGGTTGTAAGAAATAGTCCTTTATGAGGAGGAAGATATTCTGTCTACTTCTCCTAACGGAATAATGAGTTCCCTGAAAAAAGAGGAAGACAGTGCCTTAGCTCTGCATCTTCATACTGTCTTGAACATCATAGGCAACTGATGTAAGACTTTTAAATTCTGAAGAAAATGGAAATATCTCTGGAGAACATTTTATCCTGAGAGATGCATTTCTCCATGAAAACTCAGCAGAAAATGAAAATATTCTATTTAATAACTTCACCTAAAAAAAATCTATGAAAACACACAGATCAGAGATCACAAACTATTAGCCTTTGGACACAGACATGTGTTCAGCACTCAAATAATGCTGTTTGCATTCTTACTTAATTCATTGTCAATCTTTGAAAATCAGAAAAATTAATATTAAAATCTACATTTCTACTTTCTCTTGAAAAACCAGAAGTGTCGGCAATGCTGGGTCCATGTGGTTTAGCATAGCAACAATTGTCTGACTCAAACATGGCTAGCCCTTTGAGGTGTTTTTCACCATATTCTCTTCTCAGCTCTCTTCACTAGTTTTCTATTACTTGCCTAATCTAAATAGCCATTTGGGGTTATCTCACCGACTCTCTGTATTATTCTGAAGGGATAATAATGTTTCTGGTTGATCTTAGAATAACATTTTCCAAGAAGCAAAACTTCCTTCTCATCAGAAATGTGCCTCTGCTTTTACATCCTCAGGTCAAATAAATTACGTCAGATCCCATTCTACTGATGCTTGCGGCAATCCATATAAAAGGCAACATTCTGAGTATTCAAGGAAAGAAACTGAGCTACCATTTATGTGATGAAATCATAGGATGGCTCAAGAAAAAAGGGAAGATATCATTAGTCAGCCAGACAATGTAAGATCTGCAGGAACTGGCAAAAAGTTCAGTAAAATTACAGCAGAGAGGAGCACATGTTTGCTCAATAAACACACTGAGATTTAGAACCAGCAAAGACAGAATTCTAGCACAGCACTGAGAACAATTGTTTATGCTCTCACATGGAGGATACCTAATTTAAAAGGCTGTAATGAACCTCGATTGTCAGGAACTTCTCAGAAACACTGTGCAGCACAATCCATACCAAATGACACCAAGCTTCAGTGGTTTATAAAAAGTTGGTTGACTTACCATAAGAATATGTTGGGAGTAAAATCCAGAAAGACAGAAAGAAGAACTGTGTTTAATCAAGAGGAAGTGGAGAAAATTATACATATGTATTTTTATATAGAAAAGAAGGAGAGGATATTTAGAGCCTTTTGGTAAACATCAAATCCAGGAAGCCTGTGTCTGTCTCTCACTGAGGATATTGTAAAGATATGAAGTAGGAAAGAATATACCACTAAAAGGAGCACAGTCTTTCAATTCTAACCTCTGTCCCAAAACTATCAGACCATGCAGTATTTAACAAGTTGTTTAGTGAAAAAGTGCTGCCCAAAAGGACTTGGGAGACTCTAATTCCCTTGTTTCCACATCAAGAAACTGAAATCCAGATAGGTTGCATGATATGCTGAGGTCATAACGCATTCAGTGATTATTTACCAGATATCTTTTTTTTTTCCCGAAATGGAATTTTGCTCTTGTTGCCCAGGCTAGAGTACAATGGCACAGACTGCTCACTGCAACCTCTCTGCCTCCTGGGTTCAAGCGATTCTTCTGCCTCAGCCTCCTGAGTAGCTGGGATTACAGGAGTCTGCCACCACGCCCAGCTAATTTTGTATTTTTAGTAGAGATGGGGTTTCACCATGTTGGTCAGATTGGTCTCGAACTCCTGACCTCAGGTGATCCATGCCCTCAGCTTCCCAAAGTGCTAGGATTATAGGTGTGGGCCACTGTGCCAGGACCCAGACACCTCTTTTTGATGTACAAAGATGAGCCAAAGTCATTGCACTCGGATGTCATAAAATCTACCAGGGAGAAAGGGCAGGATCCCCAAAACAGTATGTATCAATAGAATAATAATGATAATGATAATAATAGTTTCCAGTTGCCATATGCTGCAACGTTTCAAATGCTGTGTTTTGTGTAGAATTTCTGTCACCTCATTTATTCTTCCAAACTTCCGATATGTAGGTCTAATCATCCATATATTAAAGATGCAGTGATTGAAGCTTAGGAATTAGACATATTATTAATTCATTCAATAAACAGTTCTATTTCAAGCTATTTGAAATATATTTGTGTGTGTGTGTGTGTGTGTGTGTGTGTGTGTGTGTGTGTGTATGTCCAGTAGGAGTAAGTGGTATGAAGAAAAAATAAGGCAATAGGATAAGAAAAGAAAAAAGGTCTCTCTGAGAGGTGATACTTGAGGAGAGACTTAAAGAAAGTGAGGAAGAGTCGTTTCGGGGAAGACTATTTGTGGCACAAGAATAAAAATAATGAAGACCCTGGAAGAGAGTATATATAAGAAATATTTGTTCTCTCTTTCCCATTTCTTAGGAGATAAGATAAATCGAACTTGATTCCTTCCCTCAAAAAATTTATAACTTACTTGAAAGGCAAAACTTGTGCACTAACATCAAAATACACGGTAGAGTATAAAGGAGATGAAAATAAAAGTCAAAAGGGATGGATATTTTGTTTAACTTGGCAACAGGGGACCACTAGGGGTTGGAAAAGATTGAAAACCTCCCAGAAGTGCCTTTGGAACTTACCTTTAAGAATAAATAATATTTGGGCCAGGCACGGTGGCTCACGCTTGTAATCCAGCACTTTGGGAGGCCAAGGTGGGTGGATCACGAGGTCAAGAGATCAAGACCATCCTGGTCAACACGGTGAAACCCCGTCTCTACTAAAGATACAAAAAATTAGTTGGGCAAGGTGGTGCGTGCCTGTAATCCCAGCTACTCAGGAGGCTGAGGCCGGAGAATTGCCTGAACCCAGGAGGCGGAGGTTGCGGTGAGCTGAGATCGCGCCATTGCACTCCAGCCTGGGTAACAAGAGCAAAACTCCGTCTCAAAAAAAAAAAGCCCTTAGAGCAATGGCTCTCAATAATTAACGTGCATCGAAATTAAAGAGAATATTCATGAAAACACTGATTTCTGGGCTCCACCTGCAAGAGTTTCAAATCATAAATGCATTAAATTTTGCATGTCTATGAAATTCCCAAGTAGCTTCGATGCTGCTGGAGCAGAGACTACACTTTGAGACCCACTATCTTGGAAGAATATTTAAGCTGACACAGACAGAGGAAAATGCAGGACTAGAAAAAGGTTATCCTCTGAGAGTGGCAACGTAGCTAACGGAGCCTGGAGAATGGTGGCAAAGTTTTGCAAAGGTCACTGTGGGCATCTTCTCAGAGAAACAAGTGACAACTTAAGTCATCGATTTAGATTTCTCTCGATTTCATTGTCACACATTTTCTGTTCTTAACATGTCAATGACATAGCAACTATCCTAAGATTAGGAGTAGATGTTTCCAAATGACTTTGAAAGTGTTCTGGAAAGCGCTATCCAATAGGAACATAATGCAAGCTACATATATAATTTTTAAATTATCTAGTACATTCATTTAAAATAAGAACAAAAAGGTAAAAAGAAACATCAAATTATGTGCAAAATATATTCAATCCAAAATGCAGTAAATATAACAAATTATTAAGAAGATATTTACTTTTTTCTATTATGCCTTTGAAATCTAGTGTATATTTTACACTTACAGACCATCTCAACTTGGACTAGACACAATGTAAGTACTCAATAGCCCCTCTCCTTCTGGAAGGCTTTCAAACTTTTCCAAACTGCAGTGGTCCCCTGTTGCCAAGTTAAACAAAACATCCACCTCTTTTGACTTGTAACTTCATTTCTATCTCTTTTGTATTCTACCATGTTTTTTTGATGTTTGTGCTTTTGTTTTACCCTTCTAGTAAGTTATTGGTTCCTGGAGGGAAAGATTCAAGTTTGAATCCTTACTATAACACAGTGGCTATCGTAGTGCACAATGCAGCACTAGAATCATGTGATGGAAATACCTAATAATAATAATAATGACAGAGTTATATATGTCTGAGATTTAAGAGCAGCAGTCATGAAGCTACAACCAAACATAACTTAAATATTACTGAATGTGATGGTTAATTTTCAGTGCTGACTTGATTGGATTAAGAGACACCCAGAGAGCTAGTAAAGGAAAGGTTTGGCATGTGTCTGTAGGAGTGTTTCTGGAAGAGACTGACATTTATGTTTCGTGGACTAAGGAAGTAGAGCTGTCTTCACCCAATATGGGAAAACACCATTCAATTAATTGAGGATCTGAATAGAATGAAAAGGCAGAGGAAAAGTGAATTTGTGTGTGCTCTCTCTCTCTCTGGCACACTCTTTTGGAGCTGGGATACCCTTTTCCTCCTGTCTTTGGACATTAGGACTCCAGATTCTTTAGCTTTGAGTCTTGGAGTTACTTTGGCAGCCCCCTAGAATCTCAGGCCTTCAGCCTTGGACTGAGCCATGCTACAGCCTTTCCTGTTTCTCTAGCTCATGAGTGATACAGTGGCACTTAGCCTTCATAATTGCATCAGCCAGTTCCCATAAGAAATTCCTTCTCATATATTTATATATGAGATAGATAGGCAGACAGACAGACGGATTAATAGAGTTTTCTTACTGGTTCTGTTTCTCTGAAGAAATCTGACTGAAACACTTTTCGTAATTTGTTTAGGCCAGGACGGAAGCCAGAAAAGGTCCATGAAGAAAAAACCAAGTATAAGCGTAAGTAAAAGTAAATTGACTTTCCTTTCAGCCATGATGGAGTAACAGAAACCAGATTTACCCTCCTGACTGAAAGATCAAAAAACTCTGACAAAATACATAAAACAGTGGACATTATATATTAGATATTATATATACAGTACAGGATATAAATCCTGAGAGGGAAGGTAAGACTTATGAAGGCATCTGCTTACAGTTGGGAGAGTTTCTAGGTCATAGGGGAGGGAAGGAGAGCCCAAATGAAGGTTAGAAATTTCTGTGAACTGAGAACATTCAGTTCAAAGCCTGGAGAGGCTCCGGAGAGAAGAGTGTGCAGGGAATATCATGGGAGAAGACAGAATGCACAGAAAGAGAATTCCAGAAATCCCCCAGCATCTCATGCAAATCTATGGTTGAGTATTGGAAGAAGATGACCTGGGGTGGGAGGAAAAAACACCCTAAAGTATTAGAAGGAACAATCTGTGGCACTCAGAGTTGGGAATTGTTTGTGTTCATTCTAGCAGGGGAATGAAAACCTCATAATTCACAGGACATTGAGTAGAGAACACAAAAGGCATTATCTCATAGTGGGAAGAAATCAGCCCTAAACTAAGACTGCTCTGATTCACATAATAAAGCTGAAAAGTAATCCTCAAAAGAATAAAACTATTACCAAATAATTTAACTTTGTCTCGGAGAAAACTTCAAGCATATTTATAAAAATACAAAAACATCTAGCACCAAACAAGTTAACATCACAATGTCTGGCATCCAATAAAAATGGTCGGACATACAAAAGAGCTAGAAATATGACCCATAGTGAGGAGGGGGAAAAATATAAATGATTGAGACCCAGAAATTTTGAAAATGATAGAGTTCGTAGACAAGAAAATTAAAAACATTATTATAATTGGATTCTGTCTCTGTCAGTCAAGGTTTCTTTGAAAGAATGCCATAAACTTAGTGGCCTAAACAACAGGAATTCATTTCTCATAGTTCTGGACGCTGGGAAGTATGAAAGTTGATTGCCAGCACGATCAGGTTCTGGTGAGGGCCTTCTTCTTGGTTTGTAGATGGCTACTTTCTCACTCTGTCTTCACATGGCAGAGCATGAGAGAGAGAGAGCATTCAGGCCTGTCTTCATCCCCTTATGAGGTCCAAACCTCTTAAGAGACCATACCTCCAAACTCTGTAGGGTTTAAAGCTTTAACATATGAATTTTGGGGGGTACGTGTTCAGTCCATATACACAATAGAGAAAAATCGAGCATGTAAAATAGAGACAAACACACACACACACACACACATGTATATATATATTTGAGATGGAGTCTCACTCTGTCACCCAGGATGGAGTGCAGTGGCACCATCTGAGCTCACTGCAACCTCTGCCTCATGGCTTCAAGAAAGTCTTCTGTCTCAGCCTCTCTAGTAGCTGGGACTACAGGCGCACACCACCATGGCTGGCTAAGTTTTGTATTTTTCGTAGAGACAGGGTTTCACCATATTGGTCAGGCTGTTCTCGAAATCCTGACCTCAGATGACCGATGCACCTCGGCCTCCCAAAGTGCTAGAATTACAGGCATGAGCCACCGTGCCTGGCCAAGAGTATATGTTTTAAAAAGACTTCTAGAGATGCTAACTACAATGGGTGGGATTAACAGTAGGTTAGACAGTGCAAAAGAAAAGGTCTGTAAACTTAAAGACATAACAAAAGAAAACCTACAAAGTAAAGCAGAAAATAGATTGAAATAAAAGTTGAAGAGCATTAGTAAACTATGGGGCAGGTGAAATGAAAGTAGTCTAATATATGTGATATTGGAGTTCTCAAAGATGGGGGGATTGGAAGAAAATATATTTGAAGAAATGATAGCTGCAAATCTTTCATGTTTGAAAAAACAATAAATGCACATGTCCAAGAATCTCAATGAACTCCAAATACACAGAACATAAAGGACATTACAGCAAAGAATAGCACAGACAGATTACTAATATCTTGGTCTTCTCAGGCTACCATAGCAAAATACTGTAGGCTGGGTGGCTTACATACTCAAAAGCTATTTTCTTACAGTTCTGGAGACTGGAAGTTCAAGAGCAAAATGTTAGCAGGGTCAGTGTCTAGTGAGAATTCTTTTCTTGGGGATGGACAACTTCTTGCTGTGTCCTCACACAACCTTTCCATGGTATATGTACACACAGAGAGAATGTTCTGATTTCTCTACCTCTTTAAAAGGGCACTAATTCCATCACACTGGAGGTTAAGGTTTCAACATGCAAATTTTCAGGGAACACATATCAGCCTATAATAGCCAAAAAATAGTAATGATGAAAAGACAGATTAATAAGGAGAAACAGAGATAAGGATGATGGCAGCATTCTAATCAGAAGCAATGCAAGCAAGACAGTAGAGCAATCTCCTTAAAGTCCTGAAAGACAAAACTCTCAACCTTTTAGGAGAACCTTTAGACATTTTTTTCTTTCAAATAAAAGGCCGCCTAAAATAGAAAAGGTAAGTAGGGGTACAGAAAAGGCTTAATTAGGAATTATGGGTTTTTTTCAAGCAATGAGAAACAGATCTCTGCAGCTAGTTGTATCATTTGAAGAATATCCTTTTTCTCAATGCTTACAGAAGAATCTAGAATAAGAAAAGTTATTTAGAAACTCTATTTTCTCTCTCCCATCTTGATTCCTATTAGATTTGAAACAGGTGTCTCCAAAACAAACTTTATATAATAAGAGGTTTGTTGCAAAGAGATTTTGATACTTGTTAGAAGCCTAACAACTTTCATTATGGTAAAAGTTAGCTCTCACCACCTGCTTTGAGCAAAACATTGCAGAGTTCTCTTCCTTGCCCCCCAACCCAACAAACAAACAAAACTCCAATTACTTTATCTTCCTTCAAGTTGAATAATGCTGGTGGCGAGATAAAACTTTTCTGACTCCTTGTTCCCACTCTCTACCAACAAGAAAAGAAATGAGTAAGTCATATGCCAAGCTTTCCATCGAATTCGGGTTCAATTTCTCAACTGTTTCACATTTCAACTTTAATATAATTAAGATGGTAACTCTCAAAGTACCTTACAGAGAAATAAATCACTGACTTTTCTCTGTGAAACCATATGATAGAATTCGACGTTGCTTGATCCGGGAAGGACCTTTGTCTTACAGGTGGAGAACTGAGGAAAGTGAAGAAAACTCTCTGTGGTGTTAATAGGTTTTTCATGATTGTGTCTCCATCCGAGGCAATGTGTTAACAATGGAAAAGGCACAAACTTTGGAGTTGAGTGAACCTGGATGTGAAGATTTGAAGTCTGTCTCCATGTACACTGTGTACACGGACAGTTCACTTAACTCATTAAGCCTCACACTCGTTAACCGTAAAATGGAAATGTTAGCTTAGTCATTTCCTCCAGAAGGCAGCTCCCTGCCTTCTGCAGCTTGTTTTTCTCCAGTCTTGCTTTAGTTACTCAGCTCTCACTGTACTTCCCTGAAGCCTCCTCAGGTGCTCAGAAACAATCAGCTACTTTCTCTGAAACTCTCCTGAATCTTCTCTTGAGCCCACTTGCTAGAACTTTCCCTGGTCATGACGACTTGACCATTGCTTTACTATGCGGATTTCTGGGACTCTCATAATTCCAAACAGAAAGTGGAGCGCACCTGCTTTCCAATTGTCTGAGATTTATATTGCCTCACATCCTTCCATCATGGTGCAAAGCCAGGGAATGACATAGGCTAGTTTACAAGGAACTCAAGTAGTGTCTCTGCCTTTAGTAGTCTTCTCTAACTTGCTCCCCGAAATTCTCCCTAATTCCAAAGGGTATTTTGTTTCCCACCCTGTAGAGATGGTGGGGAGACTTCCTTTGTGAGCTTCAATTTTTCCCTGCTCTGTGATTTATACCATAGCCAAATGTCTTTTAGCTTCTTTAAATCCTGTAAGAATTCTGGAGGCCAGAAGTCCAGCGTTAGTGTCACTAGGCTAATATCATGGCAGGGCCACTTCTGCACTCTGTAGGGGAGAATTCCTTCCTTAACCTCTTCCATATTTGAAGCTAATTCCTTGGCTCATGGTCCCTCCCACCATTAAAGCCAGCAATATAGCATCTTCACATCACTCTGTCTCCTCCCATAATCACATCTCCTTCTGCCTTCTTAGTGTGTTCTAATCTTTCTCTGCCTCTGTTTTAGAAGAACGTTTATGATGGTATTTGGGATTCACCCAGATAATGCAGAACAATCCCCTCATCTCAAGACCCTTAACTTAATCACACCTGTGAAAACTTTACTGAGAAGGTAAATTTTCCATAGATTAGTTGCTGATAACTTGAGAGAGGGTCACTATCCAGCCTACTCCAGCTGCCAGTGTAATTAGATGGTGAAAAGATCTTTTCAACAGACTGTACTGAAGCACTGGATATGTATATGGAAAAAGATAAGATATTTCTATTTCATACTACATGTACAAATTAATTTGAAATGGATTATAGTCTAAATGTAAAAGTTAAAACTATAAAGCTACTAATGTCAGTATTTTTCTGAATTTGATACTCTTCAAAGCAGCTAGTATAGTGTGTGTTGTAAGAGAACTATGTGAGAGTTTAATCACCACATTGTCTCATTCATTTATTTAAATGTTGAAGGAAAATGTTAAACCTGATGTATTTACACCCTTTCTTGTTACCAGAAATGTACTCCAATTTATAAAATGCATACACTGGAATAGGAAACTATATATTAATCAAATAGGTGAGGAGAGTGAAATAAGGTGTTTAAGAAAACTTAAGCCAGTAAAAAGGTTAGTAAATAAATTGCATGCTGGGAGTCTCAGGTCAGGTGTCTTAAAATCTGACTCTTCTATCTGCTGGCACAGAGGACATAATATGTTTAGTATCCATAATATTGTAAAGTGTCTATAAAATAAAAACATACTTGTTACCCAAAAGAATCATAGTTTTCCTAATACCGAGACTAGGACAAAATTTTCCGAGTCTTCATGAAGAGAAAGTGGTCTGTGGTGAACATTTCCTCAATATCAGTCCTTCCATTAATTTAATAAAGAGCTTCCAGGACACTTCAGGATGCCCCTCAGTGTAGACAGATGAATGAGAGCTAAAGTGCACCTCAGTAAAGCCAGTTCTACAGAGTCAAAGAACTGTCTATGTCCCTAGCTAATAATTGAGCTTTATCTGAAATGAATAGATATTATACAAAAGAAAATAAAAAGGATTTCCTCTTTAAATAAGTTTGAGAGACTCTGGGTTAAAAGTTCGAGAGAGTAAACCTACTGAAAGTGTGGTGAACTAACACTTAGGGAATAGGCACAGTGGTTCTTAAAGAAAAAAACACAAAAACCCCAATTTTCATGCTACTGTCTGATTTTAAAAAGAAGCAAAAAGATAATGTTCAAGAGGGCTCATTGCTGTGGGACTTTTCAGAGCCTTTAATTCACTAATGTATATTGTGAATTTTTTAAAAAGTCATTATTTCCCATACTATCAAACTAATTTGCCTGGAATTAATTTCCCAGTTACGTTTCTCAAATTAACTATGTGGAGAATATTTTAGAGTATCTGTAGAAGCCAGTATTTTGCTAAAGACACTTTGATTAAAGTTAATCCAGAGAAACAATACATCCATCTAGTGCTATGGCTCTTGTCAAATTGTGTATTGTGTGTTGTGAATGAGACATAAAGAATAAAGGATAAAAGGAGGCCAAGAGAAACCTCATTTCTAGCTTGCATGAATGGGCGGCTACCTTTGCCCAGGCTTTGCATCAGAAGACATTGTATTTTTCTGGTGTATGAGGCCTAAGAGCTGAGTTTCATCCTTGCAAACTACTTATCAGTAGATGTGTTTGTAGTCAAATGCATTAATCTGCAGCTTTGCCCCCATCTCCAAAAAAAAAAAACAGGAAAAGCTGAAGAAACAAAGGTGTTTATTTGGTTCAGAATAAAAACAATTTTAGGTAAATACTTAGAAACAAAAAAACCCCAAACAAAGGTTTTAGAAACAGACATATTCAAAACACACAATGACAGAATAAAACAATTAATTTATGTGGAAGTAAAAGCAACTAATTTTGAATATGCAAAGTAACCTCACAGTTTCCCAAACTTTTCCTCCCTGAAGCTTTTTGCTTAGAGAACAAAATGCTCCTCACTTCACTAGACCAGCTGTCTCTCAAAACACAGATAAGACCTGCTAATGCTGGGTTCCTGAGCGCCTGCTGGGGTGGCAGGCCTCATTCCAAAGTCAGTTTCTCTCCAGCAGCAGAGCCCTTTTGCTCCCCATTTTCATACACACAAGCATCCTATTAGGAGGGGAGCTCACACATTAAAATGACAACAGGAGACTTTCCATTGCCGGATATGTTTTGTCTTCATGTTCCAAGAAAGGTCAAAAGATTAAAGCTGCAATTTTCAAGGAAGAGAAATCATCCTTGAACTTCCTTATTAGACATTCTGTACTACTGTATTTTACAATAAATATTATCTGCCAGACTAATTCTTCATCTAGGCTAGCCTAGTCTTGCTCTGAAATAGCTGAGGAAGAGGCCTCAATGGCTTACTCTCTAACCCATAGTGTTTCCAGCTATTCTAAGGACACAGGGAAAGAGATTTCTGCCCTAAAACATACACCCTACTTTTTGAGTGGTACTGTTGTTGCCATCATTATAGAAACATACTGCCCCTTGGGCCCATCTCAGGTGAATGAGATCAAATATTTGAAGTGTGGTCTCATCTCTTAATCTTGCCAAGTAAGAATTAAAGAGCAGGTGCTTTTAGGAATGGATCCCTGAGAGATACTGAATAAAGTCTTGGAAAATAGCTAAATGGAATAAACTCAAAGAAAGGCAGGCCTAAACTGTGTAGCTAAACCAAAGGAGTTTGATGGACAATGAAGTTCTGTAAAGACAGGAGACCACAGCTATGAGTTCATCCACTGTAGGGAAGGTAGCAAAGTCACCCAGAGTTAAGAGAGAAGAGTCAAGGCCAAAAGATAGAGAGGGAAGTAAGTGGTTTCTAAGCAGAGATTAAATTTAGCATCTGAGAGGTAAGAGAAGAACCAAAGACGTCCATATTCCAAAAACACAGTCCAGTGAGTATCTTCAAAACCAGCATAGTCCAAAGAGAACAGATCTGGACTGCTAAGAACAGATCTGGGCTAGCCAAGAGGAGTCCGTGTACAGCATGGCACAGATGGAAGTATTCCTAAAGAGAATATGAATACTAAGCCTCGATCAGCCTCTCTTATTTCTCGCTTTTGGAAATGCTGTGTAGGATAACTTGAAATGGACCAGTCAGGAGGTATGTCTCCCTATGTTTAACTATGATGAAGACAAGAACCTCAAGGAGCATTCAGAAAGATTCCTACAACTCACTCTCATAATTCCATTTCATCAAACAATGCATAGCTACCCTTTCCCCTCATCAATATTCTGAAGTCTTCCACTTTAGTATAATTAATTCTGAGATGAGAACTTTCAAATCCTAGTCTCCAGTCTACCCTGCTTTCTCAGCATATCTTCCCTGGGACAGTGTCCATCTTCAGTCCCTGGATTCTTTCATGTGGGCTCCTCTCATGCTTAGCTCCCTGTCTTGCATAGACCCACCTTTTCCTCTGCCTTCCCATCAGTAATCTCATGTGCTCCACCCCACTTAACCTAGCAAATCTCCTGTTTTCTGTCAAGTGAACCACTGTTTTTTTTTTGTTTGTTTCTGGCATCCTGGGTGCTGAAAAAAATCAAAATATATGACTCAGTTGGCTATACTACAGAATAATGGTCTCTGGTCTTAGTTTATCTCTCAGAAACATACTTTTTCTTTAATTCATTCAACAAACTATCATTGCTTGCTACTTTCCCAATGTGTGCAGAGAAGTATTTCAAAGTATTGATATATATGTCAAAAGTACCAAATATTGATGCAAGTTTGAATAATGAAGAGCTCTTATGAGATGCTTGAAATGATTAAGATGCATTAATTATCTTTTTACCTTTCCTTTTACCATAAGGATGATGACATCTTAGAATTTCTAAGGTTACCAGCAAAACTAAATGTGAACAAGAACAGAAGCTAGTTGTCAGCATCCATGGAGACACAGATCCCAAAACCTTCCAAACATGGAACTACAGGGAGGAAGCACTGAGAATTAGTGCTTTTTTCTCTTCTTCCCTTCTGAGGCTTTGGGTCTCCAGCGTTCTTTGAATTGCCTGAAGTTTCTGGCTGTTATCCAGCCTGCCCTCTCTAGGTGATACTCTGAGCTAGAAATCTGTCCTCCATCTTACTCTAGTTTGTCTCAGAAAGCACTCTTGGGAGATTTATTGTATGCCAGACTCTGTGTTAAGAACATAGACATGAATATGATTTCAACAGTCACTGAACTTCCTGACACTTTACAATTATTTTTATCATCTTAACTTAGAAAATTTATTGTAGTCTTATATGCAATTTGTGTTGAGGGCAAGCCTTGGAAATAGACAGGCACATTTTTCCCTCAAGAAAAAGTGGGAAAGTTGGCAGAGTTTGATGGCTCATGCCTGTAGTCTTAGCACTTTGAGAGCCCGAGGCAGGAGAATCACTTGAGCCCAGAGGTTGAGGCTGCAGTGAGCTATGTTCATGCTGATGCACTCCAGCCAGGGTGACATAGCATAACCCTGTCTTAAATAAATAAATATAAGATAATAAATACAATTTTAAAAGTAGGAAGGTCAAAAGAATAAATAACCATCTAAATAAGCCCTAAGGAATGTGACTGTTGGGAAAGCAGAAAACATAACACATTGGCAGCCTGCATTTTCCACGAACAACTCTGTTTTCCCCTGCTGTGGCTGCACAGTAAGGTGATGGGAACAGGGGTCGAGTTGTGACCTTTAATGAGGTAAAGGTCTGGGATAGCTGCTATTAATGTGAAGATACAATATGAGCACCTTTTCACAACCCTAACTTACCAACTTTCTTTTTCTTTTTCTTTGTTAAACACAGTCTCACTCTGTCACCCAGCCTGGAGTGCAGTGGCACGGTCTTGGCTCACTGCAGCCTCCACCTCCCGGGATCAAGTGATTCTCCTGCCTCAGCCTCCCGAGTAGCTGGGATTACAGGTGCGTGCCACCAAGCTTGGCTAATTCTTTTATTTTTCGTAGAGACAGGGTTTCACCATGTTGGCCAGGCTGGTTTTGAACTCCTGACCACAAACGATACCCCCACCTCCGCCTCCCAAGATGTTAGGTGTGAGCCACTGCACCTGGCCTACTTAGTTTTTCTTAAGACTTGATGCTAGTTTGCCCAAGGGTCCATACTTACTATGTTGGCCTCCTCTTTATATTAAAAAATATTCCTTAAACCATTTCAAATTAAAGTCTGTGCCACTGGGTAATAGTTACTTAATAATAACTATTTTTTGTTGATTTCTATAATGTCTAGACAGGAGATTAGAAAAGTGAATGAGACTCTGCCTTAATCTTCAGAACACAGGCATGGGAGGCCATTCAGGGTCATGGTTAAGAGCACATATTCTCACATAGATGCTGATGGTGTGAACCTGAACTCTGCCGGTTTTCAGTTATTTAACATTAGACAAATTAACCTCATCATTCCTGGTTATTTGGATGTAAAATGGAGATAATTGATAGATGTATAGCATTAGTTTGAAGATTAAATGGTATTACACATGTAAATATTGTTCAGTTTAATGCCTAAAACAAGAGAAAGTACTACATAAGTTGTAGCCATTATTTTTAGCCCTGGCTTTCAAGACATAATCAGTTTAGGTTGTGAGGATGTCGGTCACGGTGAGTAGTAGAAGTTTTTCATGGATTTACAAACTTACAAAATTTATGAGAGATAGGACTGTGGTTTTCTTTTAACACTAAATCAAACTTGTTTACATTCCAGAAAAAGACATCAAAGTCCCAAATCAGGGATCAGTTGAATACTTTTGTCTCTTTTGGCCCAACATAATGATTTATCGCTGGTCCCTTTTCTTTGCTCTTCCGTCTTCACTTTCGTCCTGGTAATCTCATTTAATATCAAGAATCCAGCCATCATCTTGAGAGACTGACTCTCAAATATCTTTCCCAAACTCCACACCCATCTTCCAACATCCTGAAAAATATTTCTGCCTGAACATTCTGCCAACGTAGGAAACTGTATTTTGCCTTCTTCATCTTAGTGTCTAATCTTCACTTAGGAGAAGTATAAATATATTTGTATTTAAATGAATAGTCAAATAAGTATGCAAACATATACATGTAAATGAATGAGTGATTGAACAAAAATTGTGAACAGTTTTTCAATTTAACTAAGATTAGCATATAAAAAGCCTTCAAACTATTTCCCATTCATGAAGTCAAACTTAGCTGAAATATAACATGCTGACTTCATTCTTCCATTTGGAATAGATGTCTAAAAGTGGGGTCTGGTGAAGAACCTGCCCTGCCACCCAAGGTCGGCAAAAAGGCTTAGGCAGCAAAATAGTGAGATGGAAGTCAGATTGTCAACTTCAGTCACAGGCAGATCACTCACAAACACACCTGCATAATCATTGCTCTAAGTCCAAGCAATATCCAAGGGTAGGAAAAAGCTAGATGATCTATATGGAGTAAACTTGTCTGTGTCCTGCAAGCATCAACCTTGTTTATGAAAAGCACGAGTTTATGAAAAGCATGAGTTGTGGGTACAAGCAGTTGAGAATAATGATGTACTCCACAAACAGTGGACCAGTAACTAAACATATAAATACATCCCCATCCTCTACTCATGGTCTAGACTCCAATGAAAAAGATCAGGAAGTGAAAAGTTGAAGAAAGTATGTAAGAAACAGAGCCCCACTCACTAGTTTGATTTATTTAACAAAAAACTCCTGAATGTCCTCCAAGTTTCAGGGACTTTAGATGCTCTGTCAAATATCCTAATTAAACCATGTGGTAGGAGTGGTATTTGTTATCCACACAAGTCTACTGTTCTCTGGGGGTAAGTTGCTGCAACATTTCCAAGTCCTTCTGACTCCTTTTAAATACACGTGTGCACTCGCACGCACACACACACACACACGCACGTGTCTGGAACTACAGTGTGGTGGGGTGAAAGGAGCATGACCTTCTGTTCAGATGACCAATATCTTGGAGTAGAACAGACATATCCTTCTCTGATCTTTGTCACCAGGAGACCTTTGGTGTCAGCCTTTTGAGGTCTCTACAGGCTGGCCTCCACTGAAGAATTTAATATTAAGCCAGAGACAGATGGAGACTGGAAGCAAATTTTGAATCTTTGTCCTGGTCAAGTTTAATATTTTCAAGGACTTGTATCCCCTCAAAAGATATGTTGAAGTCCTAATTCCTGTACCTCAGAATGTGACCTTCTTTGGAGATAAGGTTTTCACAGAGGGAAACAAGTTAAAGCAGAGTCGTTAGTTTGAACACTAACCTTATAAGACAGGTGTTCTTCTAAAAAGGAGAAGTTGGGGGCACAGACATGCATTCAGGGAGAAAGCCATGTGAGGATGAAGGCAGAAATCGGGGTGATGCTTGTTCATAACAAAGAACACCAAAGATTGCCAGCAAAGCACCCAGAGTAAGGGGAGAGTCGTAAGACAGGGTCTCTACACAGCCCTGAGAAGGAACCAACTCTACTGACAGCTTCACCTCAGACTTCCAGCCTCCAGAACTATGAGAAAATAAATTTCTGTTGTTCAAGACTATCATTAAGTTTGTGGTATTCACTTTATTCTGGCAAACCTAGCAAGCTGATACACAAGGCTAATGCTTCCAAATGTTCTGGAAACCAAATCGTATCCAGGTTCATATGCTACCTCATAGAAGATGTGAATGCCTATCAAAATCTTTTCAAATTTATGTTAAGAGCATTGAAAATGAAAAGACAAAGGGGCAAATATTGTCTCTTCAGAATAATTCTCCCAAAATAATGACAATGTGCACCTTGAAAAGCTCCTCTCTTTGGAAAAGGCATCCTATATCCTAATCATGTGTTTCCAGCTGAGACAAAGAACTGGTCTTTTATTTCAACAGCAGATAAATAACCATGTTTCGATGATCAAGCCAAAAGAGCAGTAATTCACATAAATTCTCTCATGAGTTGCTTGTACTACCTCATTTTATCTCATGAGCAGGGCTATGAGTTAAATTAATTAAAAGCCAGAACAGACAAAAGATGGGCAAGTTTGGGTGCATTAATACTTACTATGAAATTATGATTATGACAACTTACAAAGTGAAAACTATTTAAACAAGGCTTCCTTGTTTCCTTGCTCTAGACCTATAATCATCACCATTCAATTCTGGAACATGAAACCAGCACTCAGGGAGGCACTATAACTTACTATGAAAAGAATGGATTCTAACCTGGGTTTGCAGGGCTGGTGTCTGCAAGGTAGTTTGCAGGACTAGTGCAAAATGAAAATGCAGGGCTCACTGGTAAAAAGCAGGAAAAGAGTCATCGAGGGCACTAAAATAATATAAAGTTTCCTTCCTTCTTCATCATTGGGTTTTAAATTCTATTTAATGTTGTTTAATGTGGTTCTAAGTAAATAAAATTAAAATTTTTAATCAACTGGCCACAGTGGCTCACACCTGTGATCCTAGCACTTTGGGAGGCCGAGGCTGGTGGATTGCCTTAGCTCAGAAATTTGAGACCAGCCTGGTCAACATGGTAAAACCCCATCTCTACTAAAAATACAAAAAAGCTGGGCATGGTGGCATGAACCTGTAGTCACAGCTACTTGGGAGACTAAGGCAGGAGAATTGCTTGAGCACGGGAAGTGGAAGTTACAGTGAGCTGAGATCGTGCCACTGTACTCCAGCCTGGGCAACAGAGTGAGACTTCATCTCCAAAATATATGTATATATAATATATTTTTAATTATAGTGAATTTGGTGCAATGCATTTTAAATGCCAATGTAAGAGCATTTGATGTGTATGCAGAATCACTGAAATCAAACAACTCATATTTTATAGTTTTTACATGCAATTTATTTTGTCCTTATCAGAACAGTGGAAACACCACACAGAACAAACTTGACTGTGTTTATTTCAATTATTGATGCACACAGAGTCTGCACATTCTACAGACTCTGCCTACCTTTGGTGTTACTGATGGCTAAAGAAAGATTCAAAGGAAAAAGAACTATGGGTTGCCCTATGTTTCCCTTTCCTTCCATGTCATCATGTTCAGCATAACTGGCTGACTACTGCAAGGGAGCAACACACACAAGAAAGGACGTGATAGAGCTCCTTGGTGGTTTGAGTTTCTTGGAACACTCGTCTCTCTGTGTTTTGAGCAAGTTCTCCTTGGAATGGAAAGAGGGCTGTCGGGAGCCCCCACCACCATCACTCCCAATTACTCAGAATGAACCTAACAGGCTTACCTTGCAATCACTTGGAGTCTCCTTGAACTCCAAACACTGTGGTAGATAACAGAATTCTGTGCTCAGAACCATGACAGGCTCCAGGCACATGAAGTGGCGAGGAACAGCACAAGTTTCACCATTGCATTGCGCTTCTGTTACAAATCACAAGTTCTGAGATAATTAATCATTTCTAACAGTGACAGCAGAGCATGAAACCAAGCGTGGGGCCCTGTGTAATTGCATAGTTTCCACAACAGCAAACTCAGCCCTGGGTTCTTCCAGTAACTTACTACATCCTGAGCAATCCAGTGGTCTCTATGGGAGTCATTTTCCATGTCTGCAAAATAAGAAGGAACAAACTCTCACACCACTCAAAAACTCTATGGATCTGCACTTTTCATGGCATTTCTTTCTCATCTTTCCTTATCCAGTAGGAGCAGCCTCACCTACTCCTACTCGTAAGAATACAAATTCTATAAAGGCAGGGAACTTGTTCGCCACTTTACCCACAATGAATAGAACTAGGCTTAGGATACAGTAGATCCTCCTTTAAATTTATAATGAATGAAGGAATAATCAACAACACCCTCACCACTGTACTACCTAATCTTCCCCACTGTCTTTATTCATATAATAAGACCTAAAACTAAGCTCTTTAAAAGCATAATTCATTGAAACCAAGAACCAGCTCTATCCTAATGGTGTAGTTTTGAGGACCTATGCAGTTAACACAAATA